TATAAATGTTTTATTAAATACTAATATTATAATAGTGATAATCTGTCACGAATTTTTGTCTGATTTATTGGATCGATAACTCGAAAAGCAATTGGCCTCCTGTGAGGTTTGAAATAACGACCCCTGGTTTACGAAAACCAGTGCTCTACTACTGAGCTAAAGAGGTACGAGTTCAAACCCTCATAGGATATTATGTTTTTGTTTTTTGAATCACAGGAAGTAGAAGTGTATTCGATTTATACCAAACGTTGCTGCTTTTTTACAACTTTAAAATTAAGGAAAAATTACAGCATTAATAAAATTTAAGAAAAAGCGCAGCATCGAATGAGAAATCAGTTGCCTCCTGTGACGTTTGAACTCACGACCCCTGGTTTACAAGACAGTGCTCCACCACCGAGCTAAAGAGGCCACATACTGAGAGGTAGTAATATAATATTGTGCAGTTACAGCATATCTCTTATGAAGATTGAAAGAGCGTATATGTGAGAGACAGCAACCTTATAAATATTCTCATAAATACTATATTTATATTAGATAATCTAACACAAATATTTTGTCTGATTTACTGGATCGAGATCTCGAAAAGCCATTTACTTCCTGTGAGGTTTGAACACACGACCCTGGTTTACGAGACCAGTGCTCTACCACTGAGCTATAAGAGGCACAAATTCAAGACCCTCATAGGATATTATGTTTTGTTTTTCTTGAATCAGGAAGTAGAAGTCGTGAGTTCAAACCTCAACGGAGGCAAATTGCTTTTCTAGTTATCGATCCAATAAATCAGACAAAAATATTCATCACAGATTGTTACTTTTTAATATTAGTATTTATAAAAACATTTAATCACAAAAACAAACATTTCAAACTCGGATATTTAAGAGCATGAATCAATGAAAACACAAAATTCTCAGTAGTAACTGCACAATTTTATGTTACTGCTTGTAACATGTGGTTTTTTAGCTCAGTGGTAGAGCACTGGTCTTGTAAATCAGGGTCGTGAGTTTCAAAACTCACAGGAGGAGAAATTTGATATTTTAAAAGCGTGAATCAATGAAAACACAAAATTCTCAGTAGTAACTGCACAATTTTATGTTACTACTTTCAACATGTGGCCTCTTTAGCTCAGTGGTAGTGCACTGGTCTTGGTAAACCAGGGGCGTGAGTTCAAACCTCACAGGAGGCAAATTGCTTTTCGAGTTATCGATCCAATAAATCAGACAAAAATATTCGTGACAGATTATTACTATTATAATATTAGTATTCAATAAAAACATTTATAAGGTTGCTGTCTCTCATGTATAGGGTCTTTCAAACTTTATAAGAAATATGCTGTGATTTACACTAAATTCGTGTGCACAATATTATATTACTATATCCCAACATGAGGCCTCTTTAGCTCAGTGGTAGTTCAAACCTCACAAGAGCCAAAATGCTTTTCGAGATCTCGATCCAATAAATCAGACAAAATATTCGTGCTGGATTGTTACTATTATTATATAAGTATTTATAAGAATATTTATAAGGTTGCTGTCGTGGCGGGATTAGCTCAAGAGTAGCGTTCCCGATTCACATGCTGGAGGTTCCGAGTTCGAATCTCCGGCCAGAATTTGAAAAAAATAATATTAACTAGTTGGAATAATAATAGAATTATGAATTGTACTAATAAGATATGTATGTAAAATCAAAATGTATAAAAATTAGATAAGTAGAATTTAAAAATGAATTGAAGTAAGAAGTAATGAGAAGTATAGAAGAAAGAAGAAATAGTGGTTAGAAGATGAAGTGAGATGATAGTAAAAGAAGAATGAAGATAAGTTTAGTTAAGAATATGTAGCGGGTTGCCAACACGCATCGCGGCTTGTCAACACGCATCACATGTCTCTGGACAGATTGGCCCATATAGTGACAGCACTGAGAAAAACAAAAGTAAATTCAAGTGTCAGATCGGACGGACACGGTTTTTGTTTCTCCCTAGTCGAACTTGCCAAAATGTATAATTTTCAAAACCTTTCTTTTTCTATTATAAATAAGGAAATACCAATCACATTTATTAACGATAAATATGACAACACATAGTGTCGTGGATATTAATCATACATAAAATAAACCAAATATAAATAATATTTTATGGAAATTATTATTACTACAATTTGGATAATATTGGTTTTAATATGGAGGACTACTACACCTCCATATTTTGGTGACCCCGAGAGTGAACAAGTAACACACATAAAAGAAGGTAAGAAGATCAGACATATTTGAAGTTAAAAAATAAATTGAAGTCTCAAGAATTATTAAGAAAAGAATTTTTAAAAATATAAATAATTATTATAAATGACTCACAATACCGTAATTCGAAGAGCACTCTAAGCATACAACTGAGACTTCGACCACGCACTTCAAGATCAACAACAACACGTGCTCAATAAATCACTTATTATCCTGGTAAATAAGTCGATTATAAGCACCATGGCAACAGACAGGGAGCATTCAGCAAACAATTTGGCAACCGCCATATACACTCAACCGCTAACTCACCAGCGAAGGGCCACATACAATCAACCGCTAACTCACCAGCGAAGGGCCACATACAATCAACCGCTAAACTCACCAAGCGAAGTGTCAATATACTCAGCCGCTAACTCACCAGCGAAGGGCCACATCTACTCAACCGCTAACTCACCAGCGAAGGGCCACGTAAGCAATCAACAAACTCAACAAGCCAACACGGCAATTTATCACACAATCTCAACCAAAAGAAAATTTACAAGGAAGTTCAAGAATGGCAGTCAGAGATGCGAAACAATCTTTTTCATTAGGGCGGAGTGATGTAGCGGGTTGCCAACACGCATCGCGGCTTGTCAACACGCATCACATGTTACTGGACAGATTGGCCCATATAGTGACAGCACAGAAAAAAAACAAAAATAAATTCAAGTGTCAGATCGGACATGGCTTTTGTTTCTCCCTAGTAGTTTTTGCCAAAAAAATGTATAATTCTTGAAACCTTTCTTTTCAATTATAAATAAGAAAATACCAATAACGTTTTATTAACGATCAGTATGACAACACATAGTGTCGTGGATATTAATCATACATAAAATAAACCAAATATAAATAATATTTTATGAAATTTATTATGACTACAATTGGTATTAATATGGACCAAGCCTCCATAAGTATAGAAGAAGAATAGGATTATATGAAGAAGAAGATAGTATAAAATTGAAGATTGTATATGATTGTATAGAATAATGTAGGTGGCTAAATGCTCGAGTAAGCGAGGCCAATAAAAATAAAAAAAAAAAAAAAAAAAGGTTGCTGTCTCTCACATGTGCGCTCTTTCAAACCTCATAAGAGATATGCTGTAACTGCACAATATTATATTACTACCTCTCATCATGTGGCCTCTTTAGCTCAGTGGTAGAGCACTGGTCTTGTAAACCAGGGGTCGTGAGTTCAAACCTCACAGGAGGCAAATTGCTTTTCGAGATCTCGATCCAATAAGTCAGACAAAATATTCGTGTTAGATTATTTCGATTATAATATAAGTATTTATAAGAATATTTATAAGGTTGCTGTCTCTCACATATACGCTCTTTCAAACTTCATAAGAGATATGCTGTAACTGCACAATATTATATTACTACCTCTCAACATGTGGCCTCTTTAGCTCAGTGGTAGAGCACTGGTCTTGTAAACCATGGGTCGTGAGCTCTAACCTCACAGGAGGCAAATTGCTTTTTGAGTTATCGATCCAATAAATCAGACAAAAATATTCGTGACAGATTATTACTATTATAATATTAGTATTTAATAAAAACATTTATAACGTTGCTGTCTCTCATGCATGGGGTCTTTCAAACTTATAAGAAATGTGCTGTGATTTTCACTAAATTCGTGTGCACAATAATATATTACTATCTCTCAACATGTAGCCTCTTTAGCTCAGTGGTAGAGCACTGGTCTTGTAAACCGGGGGTCGTGAGTTCAAACCTTACAGGAGGCAAAATGCTTTTCGAGATCTCGATCCAATAAATCAGACAAAATATTCGTGCTGGATTGTTACTATTACAATATAAGTATTTCTAAGAATATTTATAAGGTTGCTGTCTCTCACATGTACGCTCTTTCAAACCTCATAAGAGATATGCTGTAACTGCACAATATTATATTACTACCTCTCATCATGTGGCCTCTTTAGCTCAGTGGTAGAGCACTGGTCTTGTAAACCAGGGGTCGTGAATTCAAACCTCACAGGAGGCAAATTGCTTTTCTAATTATCGATCCAATAAACAGACAAAAATATTCGTGACAGATTATTACTATTATAATATTAGTATTTAATAAAAACATTTATAAGGTTGATGTCTCTCATGCATGGGGTCTTTCAAACTTCATAAGAAATGTGCTGTGATTTTCACTAAATTCGTGTGCACAATATTATATTACTACCCACCACCATGTGGCCTCTCTAGCTCAGTGGTAGAGCACTGGTCTCGTAAACCAGGGGTCGTGAGTTCAAACCTCACAGGAGGCAAAATGCTTTTCGAGATCTCGATTAAATAAATCAGACAAAATATTCGTGTTAGATTATTACTATTATAATATAAGTATTTATAAGAATATTTATAAGGTTGCTGTCTCTCACACATACGCTCTTTCGAACTTCATAAGATATATGCTGTAACTGCACAATATTATATTACTACCAACCAACATGTGGCCTCTTTAGCTCAGTGGTAGAGCGCTGGCCTCGTAAACTAGGGGTCGTGAGTTCAAACCTCACAGGAGGCAAACTGCTTTTCGAGTTATCGATCCAATAAATCAGACAAAAATATTCGTGGCAGATTATTACTATTATAACATTAGTATTTATTAAAAAAAAATATAAGGTTGCTGTCTCTCATGTATAGGGTCTTTCAAACTTTATAAGAAATATGCTGTGATTTTTACTAAATTCGTGTGCACAATATTGTATTACTATCTCCCAACATGTGGCCTCTTTAGCTCAGTGGTAGAGCACTGGGCTTGTAAACCCAGTGGTAGAGCACTGGGTCGTGAGTTCAAACCTCACAGGAGGCAAAATGCTTTTCGAGATCTCGATCCAATAAATCAGACAAAATATTCGTGTTAGATTATTACTATTATAATATAAGTATTTATAAGAATATTTATAAGGTTGCTGTCTCTCACATGTACGCTCTTTCAAACCTCATAAGAGATATGCTGTAACTGCACAATATTATATTACTACCTCTCAACATGTGGCCTCTTTAGCTCAGTGGTAGAGCACTGGTCTTGTAAACCAGGGGTCGTGAGTTCAAACCTCACAGGAGGCAAAATGCTTTTCAAGATCTTGATCCAATAAATCAGACAAAATATTTGTGTTAGATTATTACTATTATAATATAAGTATTTATAAGAATATTTATAAGGTTGCTGTCTCTCACATTTACGCTCTTTCAAACCTCATAAGATATATGCTGGAACTGCACAATATTATATTACTACCTCTCAACATGTGACCTCTTTAGCTCAGTGGTAGAGCACTGGTCTCGTAAACCAGGGGTCGTGAGTTCAAACCTCACAGGAGGCAAAATGCTTTTCGAGATCTCGATCCAATAAATCAGACAAAATATTCGTGTTAGATTATTACTATTATAATATAAGTATTTATAAGAATATTTATAAGGTTGCTGTCTCTCACATGTACGCTCTTTCAAACCTCATAAGAGATATGCTGTAACTGCACAATATTATATTACTACCTCTCAACATGTGGCCTCTTTAGCTCAGTGGTAGAGCACTGGTCTTGTAAACCAGGGGTCGTGAGTTCTAACCTTACAGGAGGCTAATTGCTTTTCGAGTTATCGACCCAAAAAATTAGACAAAAATATTCGTGACAGATTATTACTATCATAATATTAGTATTTAATAAAAACATTTAAAAGGCATAAGATATATGCTGTCTCTGATGTATAGGTTCTTTCAAACTTTGTAAGAAATATGCTGTGATTTTCACTAAATTCGTGTGCACAATAATATATTACTATCTCTCAACATGTGGCCTCTTTAGCTCAGTGGTAGAGCACTGGTCTTGTAAACCAGGGGTCGTGAGTTCAAACCTCACAGGAGGCAAAATGCTTTTCAAGATCTTGATCCAATAAATCAGACAAAATATTTGTGTTAGATTATTACTATTATAATATAAGTATTTATAAGAATATTTATAAGGTTGCTGTCTCTCACATTTACGCTCTTTCAAACCTCATAAGATATATGCTGGAACTGCACAATATTATATTACTACCTCTCAACATGTGACCTCTTTAGCTCAGTGGTAGAGCACTGGTCTCGTAAACCAGGGGTCGTGAGTTCAAACCTCACAGGAGGCAAATAGCTTTTTGAGTTATCGATCCAATAAATCAGACAAAAATATTTGTGACAGATTATTACTATTATAATATTAGTATTTAATAAAAACGTTTATTTGTTTTATGGCAAACGTTGGTGTTTTTTTTCTTTAATAAAGTCTAAATATCTTTTATAAAGAATAAATCACAGCACGCCAAATTATTTGTTGAACTGTTATAATTTTTTTTAAATATTTCTTTTTATAAATTTGGTCACAAGCGGCATAAGTCTATTCGATTTATTCCAAACGTTGGCGTTGGAGTTGTTTTTTTTACAAAGTTAAGAAGGCACACGAATTTAGTGAAAATCACAGCATATTTCTTATAAAGTTTGAAAGAACCTATACATGAGAGACAGCAACCTTATAAATGTTTTTATTAAATAATAATATTATAATAGTAATAATCTGTCACGAATATTTTTGTCTGATTTATTGGATCGATAACTCAAAAAGTAATTTGCCTCCTGTGAGGTTTGAACTCACGACCCCTGGTTTACGAGACCAGTGCTCTACCACTGAGCTAAAGAGGCCAAATGTTGAGGAGTAGTAATATAATATTGTACAGTTACAGCATATATCTTATGAGGTTTGAAAGAGCGTAAATGTGAGCGACAGCAACCTTATAAATATTCTTATAAATACTTATATTATAATAGTAATAATCTAACACGAATATTTTGTCTGGTTTATTGGATCGAGATCTCAAAAACCATTTTGCCTCCTGTGAGGTTTGAACTCACGACCCCTGGTTTACAAGACTAGTGCTCTACCACTGAGCTAAAGAGGCCACATGTTGGGAGATAGTAATATATTATTGTGCACACGAATTTAGTGAAAATCACAGCATATTTCTTACAAAGTTTGAAAGACCTTATACATGAGAGACAGCAACCTTATAAATGTTTTTATTAAATACTAATATTATAATAGTAATAATCTGTCACGAATATTTTTGTCTGATTTTTTGGGTCGATAACTCGAAAAGCAATTTGCCTCCTGTGAGATTAGAACTAACGACCCCTGGTTTACAAGACCAGTGCTCAACCACTGAGCTAAAGAGGCCACATGTTGAGAGGTAGTAATATAATATTGTGCAGTTACAGCATATCTCTTATGAAGTTTGAAAGAGCGTATATGTGAGAGACAGCAACCTTATAAATATTCTTATAAATACTTATATTAAAATAGTAATAATCTAACACGAATATTTTGTCTGATTTATTGGATCGAGATCTCGAAAAGCATTTTGCCTCCTGTGAGGTTTGAACTCACGACCCCTGGTTTACGAGACCAGTGCTCTACCACTAAGCTAAAGAGGCCACATGTTGGTGGGTAGTAATATAATATTGTGCACACGAATTTAGTGAAAATCACAGCACATTTCTTACGAAGGTTGAAAGACCGCATGCATGAGAAACAGCAACCTTATAAATGTTTTTATTAAATACTAATATTAAAATAGTAACAATCTGTCACGAATATTTTTGTCTGATTTATTGGATCGATAACTCAAAAAGCAATTTGCCTCCTGTGAGGTTTGAACTCACGACCCCTGGTTTACGAGACCAGTGCTCTACCACTGAGCTAAAGAGGCCACATGTTGAGAGGTAGTAATATAATATTGTGCAGTTACAGCATATCTCTTATGAGGTTTGAAAGAGCGTACATGTGAGAGACAGCAACCTTATAAATATTCTTATAAATACTTATATTATAATAGTAATAATCTAACACGAATATTTTGTCTGATTTATTGGATCAAGATCTCGAAAAGCATTTTGCCTCCTGTGAGGTTTGAACTCACGACCCCTGGTTTACAAGACCAGTGCTCTACCACTGAGCTAAAGAGGCCACATGTTGGGAGATAGTAATACAATATTGTGCACACGAATTTAGTAAAAATCACAGCATATTTCTTATAAAGTTTGAAAGACCCTATACATGAGAGACATCAACCTTATAAATGTTTCTATTAAATACTCATATTATAATAGTAATAATCTGTCACGAATATTTTTGTCTGATTTTTTGGGTCGTTAACTCGAAAAGCAATTTGCCTCCTGTGAGGTTAGAACTCACGACCCCTGGTTTACAAGATCAGTGCGCTACCACTGAGCTAAAGAGGCCACATGTTGAGAGGTAGTAATATAATATTGTGCAGTTACAGCATATCTCTTATGAAGTTTGAAAAAGCGTATATGTGAGAGACAGCAACCTTATAAATATTCTTATAAATACTTATATTATAATAGTAATAATCTAACACGAATATTTTGTCTGATTTATTGGATCGAGATCTCGAAAAGCATTTCGCTTCCTGTGAGGTTTGAACTCACGATCCCTGGTTTACGAGACCAGCGCTCTACCACTGAGCTAAAGAGGCGCAAATTCAAGACCCTCATAGGATTTTAAGTTTTTGTTTTCTTGAATCACAGGAAGTAGAAGTCGTGAGTTCAAACCTCACCGGAGGCAAATTGCTTTTTTAGTTATCGATCCAATAAATCAGACAAAAATATTCTTCACAGATTGTTACTATTTTAATATTAGTATTTATAAAAACATTTAATCAAAAAACAAATATTTTAAACTCGGATATTTAAAAGCATGAATCAATGAAAACACAAAATTCTCAGTAGTAACTGCACAATTTTATGTTACTACTTTCAACATGTGGCCTCTTTAGCTCAGTGGTAGAGCACTGGTCTTGTAAACCAGGGGTCGTGAGTTCAAACCTCACAGGAGGCAGAAATTTATTTGTTTTATGGCAAACGTTGGTGTTTTTTTTCTTTAATAAAGTCTAAATATCTTTTATAAAGAATAAACCACAGCACGCCAAATTAATTGTTGAACTGTTATAATTTTTTTTAAATATTTCTTTTTACAAATTTGGTCACAAGCGGCATAAGTCTATTAGATTTATTCCAAACGTTGGTGTTGGAGTAGTTTTTTTTACAAAGTTAAGAAGGCACACAAATTTAGTGAAAATCACAGCCTATTTCTTATGAAGTTTGAAAGACCCTATACATGAGAGACAGCAACCTTATAAATGTTTGTATTAAATACTAATATTATAACAGTAATAATCTGTCACGAATATTTTTGTCTGATTTATTGGATCGATAACTCGAAAAGCAATTTGCCTCCTGTGAGGTTTGAACTCACGACCCCTGGTTTACAAGACCAGTGCTCTACCACTGAGCTAAAGAGGCGCAAATTCAAGACCCTCATAGGATATTATGTTCTTGTTTTCTTGAATCACAGGAAGTAGAAGTCGTGAGTTCAAACTTCACCGGAGGCAAATTGCTTTTCTAGTTATCGATCCAATAAATCAGACAAAAATATTCTTCACAGATTGTTACTATTTTAATATTAGTATTTATAAAAACATTTAATCAAAACACAAACATTTCAATCTCGGATATTTAAAAGCATGAATCAATGAAAACACAAAATTCTCAGTAGTAACTGCACAATTTTATGTTACTATTTTCAACATGTGGCCTCTTTAGCTCAGTGGTAGAGCACTGGTCTTGTAAACCAGGGGTTGTGAGTTCAAACCTCACAGGAGGCAGAAATTTGTTTGTTTTATGGCAAACGTTGGTGTTTTTTTTTCTTTAATAAAGTCTAAATATCTTTTATTAAGAATAAATCACAGCACGCCAAATTAATTGTTGAACTGTCATAATTTTTTTAAAATATTTCTTTTTATAAATTTGGTCACAAGCGGCATAAGTCTATTAGATTTATTCCAAACGTTGGCGTTGGAGTAGTTTTTTTTTACAAAGTTAAGAAGGCACACGAATTTAGTGAAAATCACAGCATATTTCTTATGAAGTTTGAAAGACCTCATGCATGATAGACAGCAACCTTATAAATGTTTTTATTAAATACCAATATTATAATAGTAATAATCTGTCACGAATATTTTTGTCTGATTTATTCGATCGATAACTCGAAAAGCAATTTGCCTCCTGTGAGGTTTGAACTCACGACCCCTGGTTTACAAGACCAGTGCTCTACCACTGAGCTAAAGAGGCCACATATTGAGAGGTAGTAATATAATATTGTGCAGTTATAGCATATCTCTTATGAAGTTTGAAAGAGCGTACATGTGAGAGACAGCAACCTTACAAATATTCTTATAAATACTTATGTTATAATAGTAATAATGTAACACGAATATTTTGGGTGATTTATTGGATTCAGACCTCGAAGAGCATTTTGCCTCCTGTGGTGTTTGAACTCACAACCGCTGGTTTACAAGACCAGTGCTCTACTACTGAGCTAAAGAGGCCACATGTTGTAAGCTAGTAATATAATATTGTGCAGTTACTACTGAGATTTTTGTGTTTTCATTGATTCATGCTTTTAAATATCCGAGATTGACATGTTAGTTTTTTGATTAAATGTTTTTATAAATACTAATATTAAAAGGGTAACAATCTGTGTAGATTATTTTTTTATCTGTTTTATTGGATCGTTAGCTCTGAAAGCAATTTGCTTCCTGTAAAGTTTGAACTTACGACCCCTGGTTTACAAGACCAGTGCTCTACCACTGAGCTAAAGAGGCCACATGTTGGGAGGAAGTAATATAATATTGTGCAGTTACAGCATATCTCTTATGAAGTTTGAAAGAGCCTATACGTAAGAGACAGCAACCTTATAAATGTTTTTATAAATACTAATATTATAACAGTTATAATCTGTCCTGTGAGGTTTGAACTCACGACCCGTGGTTTACGAAACCAGTGCTCTACCACTGTGCTAAAGAGGCACGAGTTCAAAACCCTCATAGGATATTATGTTTTTGTTTTTTTGAATCACAGGAAGAAAAAGTGTATTCGATTTATACCAAACGTTGCTGCTTTTTGACTTTTATAAAGTTAAGGAAAAATTACAGCATTAATAAATTTAGGAAAAAGCGCAGCATCGAATGAGAAAGTCAGTTTGCCTCCTGTGAGGTTTGAACTCACGACCCCTGGTTTACAAGACTAGTGCTCTACCACTGAGCTAAAGAGGCCACATGATGAGAGGTAGTAATATAATATTGTGCAGTTACTACTGAGGTTTTTGTGTTATCATTGATTCATGCTTTTAAATATCCGAGTTTGAAACGTTGGTGCTTTTTTTTCTTTAATAAAGTCTAAATATCTTTTATAAAGAATAAATCACAGCACGCCAAATTAATTTTTGAACTAATATAATTTTTTTTAAATATTTCTTTTTATAAATTTGGTTACAAGCGGCATAAGTCTATTCGATTTATTCCAAACGTTGGTGTTGGAGTAGTTTTTTATACAAAGTTAAGAAGGCACACGAATTTAGTGAAAATCACAGCCTATTTCTTATAAAGTTTGAAAGACCCTATACATGAGAGACAGCAACCTTATAAATGTTTTTATTAAATACTAATATTATAATAGTGATAATCTGTCACGAATATTTTGTATGATTTATTGGATCTATATGTGGTAGAGCACTGGTCTTGTAAACCAGGGATCGTGAGTTCAAACTCGATCCAATAAATCAGACAAAATATTCGTGCTGGATTGTTACTATTATAATATAAGTATTTATAAGAATATTTATAAGGTTGCTGTCTCTCACATGTGCGCTCTTTCAAACCTCATAAGAAATATGCTGTAACTGCACAATATTATATTACTACCTCTCATCATGTGGCCTTTTTAGCTCAGTGGTAGAGCACTGGTCTTGTAAACCAGGGGTCGTGAGTTCAAACCTCACAGGAGGCAAATTGCTTTTCGAGATCTCGATCCAATAAATCAGACAAAATATTCGTGTTAGATTATTTCTATTATAATATAAGTATTTATAAGAATATTTATAAGGTTGCTGTCTCTCACATATACGCTCTTTCAAACTTCATAAGAGATATGCTGTAACTGCACAATATTATATTACTATCTCTCAACATGTGGCCTCTTTAGCTCAGTGGTAGAGCACTGGTCTTGTAAACCAGGGGTCGTGAGTTCTAACCTCACAGGAGGCTAATTGCTTTTCGAGTTATCGACCCAAAAAATCAGACAAAAATATTCGTGACAGATTATTACTATTATAATATTAGTATTTAATAAAAACATTTATAACGTTGCTGTCTCTCATGCATGGGGTCTTTCAAACTTCATAAGAAATGTGCTGTGATTTTCACTAAATTCGTGTGCACAATATTATATTAGTATCTCCCAACATGTAGCCTCTTTAGCTCAGTGGTAGAGCACTGGTCTTGTAAACCGGGGGTCGTGAGTTCAAACCTCACAGGAGGCAAAATGCTTTTGGAGATCTCGATCCAATAAATCAGACAAAATATTCGTGCTGGATTGTTACTATTACAATATAAGTATTTCTAAGAATATTTATAAGGTTGCTGTCTCTCACATGTACGCTCTTTCAAACCTCATAAGAGATATGTTGTAACTGCACAATATTATATTACTACCTCTCATCATGTGGCCTCTTTAGCTCAGTGGTAGAGCACTGGTCTTGTAAACCAGGGGTCGTGAGTTCAAACCTCACAGGAGGCAAATTGCTTTTCGAGTTATTGATCCAATAAACAGACAAAAATATTCGTGACGGATTATTACTACTTATAATATTAGTATTTAAAAAACATTTATAAGGTTGATGTCTCTCATGCATGGGGTCTTTCAAACTTCATAAGAAATGTGCTGTGATTTTCACTAAATTCGTGTGCACAATATTTATATTACTACCCACCAACATGTGGCCTCTCTAGCTCAGTGGTAGAGCACTGGTCTCGTTAACAGGGGTCGTGAGTTCAAACCTCACAGGAGGCAAAATGTTTTCGAGATCTCGATTAAATAAATCAGACAAAATATTCGTCTTAGATTATTACTATTATAATATAAGTATTTATAAGAATATTTATAAGGTTGCTGTCTCTCACACATACGCTCTTTCAAACTTCATAAGATATATGCTGTAACTGCACAATATTATATTACTACCAACCAACATGTGGCCTCTTTAGCTCAGTGGTAGAGCGCTGGTCTCGTAAACTAGGGGTCGTGAGTTCAAACCTCAAAGGAGGCAAACTGCTTTTCGAGTTATCGATCCAATAAATCAGACAAAAATATTCGTGGCAGATTATTACTATTATTATTAGTATTTATTAAAAAAATTATAAGGTTGCTATCTCTCATGTATAGGGTCTTTCAAACTTATAAGAAATATGCTGTAATTTTCACTAAATTCGTGTGCACAATATTGTATCACTGGTCTGTTTAAACCAGGGGTCGTGAGTTCAAACCTCAACAGGAGGCAAAATGCTTTTCGAGATCTCGATCCAATAAATCAGACAAAA